TTGTAATTATTTTCATTTTGGGCCCTTATTTGTAATTATTTTCAGTTTTGGGCCCTTATTTGTAATTTCCCCTAAAATTTTTATATATAAAAATTTATAAAAAATATTTTTAACAAAATAGAAAAAAATTAACTATTAAAATATTGTAACTATACAGTATATAACAGTATAATATTTTATTATATTTTACTATAATTACAAACTGTTAAAAATATGTTTATTAATTACTATATATATATATATAATATATAAAAGTGACATAGCATATTGACTAGTGCGTCACTCCAGGTGACAAACCAGATGAATTTTCTGGCCATGTTACAATAATAGTTTTCTGTATTATTTAGATTAAAGTGTTTATAACTTTGATTACACTAATTCATTGGGGGCTTAGAATATTTATGTATTGTTACAGTATATAGTAACTGAAAAATGCAAACTGGTTTAGGCTAGAGATGTGACCCGGATACAAATTTGTCACCCGAGTGAAAATGGGTTTATTACTAAAAAAACTCTTTAGTCATGGCTAATTAAGCAAATATCATATTTTCCATGGAAATCTTACCTGGGTCGCATCTCTAGTTTAGGCAGTGCAAATCAAAATAAGATTACTAAATACAAAAATCTAAGGAACTAAAGAACTAAGGCTTACTCAAAGTTCTAAATAAAGAAGTAATACAAGATTTTTGATAATATTGCAAAATATATATCTTAAATTGGCAATTAAGTACAGCAAAAAATTAAATAAAATAAATCTAATAAAAAAGTAAAATCCATTAACCTGGTTATTAGAGTTGTATTAAAAATATATACATACTATATAAACTTTGAAAAAATATATTAAAAAAAAAAACTATAAAGCATATAATACTAAGGAAATTAATTTTCTAGATTAATTGATTTGGTAGTTTGAGAAAAATTAAAAAACAGATATTAAAGCTTTGAAATAAATTTTATAAAAGCTAATAACTATAGAAGTTTAATAGTATACTCTAACTACAAGTACAGTATTACTATAGTTAGAGTAACAAATTAAAATAAAATTAATATTATACAATATAAAAAATAGACAAGCTACTAGAAAATAAAAAGTTTTAAGATTAGAGTTAAAGATTAGTTTAGAATAAACAATTATAAATAAGTTTTAAAGAATTAAATAGAACTTTTATTTATTTTAATCTAATTTTATTAAGATTTACAACAGTTAATATTATAGTATAGATTATATAAAGCTAGATTACAATACAAAAAAGATTATACTATGAATACTTACATGCCCATTTGTGTGTTAATTAATTGGCCTGTGCATTATTTCAAAATAAAGATTAAATTCGCATCTCTAATTATAATAAGTGCTCCAGAACTGGGTTTGACATTGAGTAAATGTATTTTTCGGCAATGACAAAAGTTTTTTCAGATTTATATGATTCTAATAGTAGTAAAATTATCAAAACAGACCAATAGTTTACCAGCAATGGCTTTTCAAAATTTTGTGATGTTTGTTTGCAGATTATACAAAAATTTTGAAGAGCCATTGTGTGCGAACTATTGAAATATTTTTTATACCATTAGAATCATCTCTACCTGATGAAGAACAGCTTTTATTAAATTCAAAAAACAAGTTTACTTAATACCAAACCTAGTTTTAAAACACTTTTTATTTTATTTATCTATTTTTATTTATAGAGATACGCATTAATTCAGGATGCCCATGGGCGATAATTTGAGGCTACATGTTCTATTTTAAAGGAATTTAATTTTCAAATTAATGCTCCTGAGCATTATTTTGCAATATTACAGTATTAAATAGTATACTATAAATAAAAATCGATATAAGTGCAAGATTAAAAAGTTTAAATAAATAATTTTTTAATTAAATTATCCATATGGAATGTTCTATAGAATAGGTGGGCAAACTCCGCAAACTCCACAACTCCGCTAAATATCTATTAATGATTATTAATCATTGGCGGAGTTATTTTTTATATTGCCCACCTATTCTATAGAACATCCATATGGAGTAATTATTACAGATTATTTAAAATTACTGGTATTAAAAAATCATCAGATATAAATTATTAAATCCATACTGTAGTAGCAACAAACTTGGTGAATTAGATTTGATAAATTATAACAGTATAAATCTAATAGCTTATACAATATGTTATCAAATCTGATAATATAGTACCTCAATACTACTGTAATACAAGGCGAAGCTGCTTGTATGCGCAATTGTCTAATTAATATATCAATTACAGAATTATGAACCAATAAAATTTCACACGATTAGAGCATGTTTTTGAACATGACCAATCATAGCCTCAGGCAATTTCGGACTCTCCAGATTGAGTTTAAAACATAGGCAATTACAGATTTTATCAGACATTTCGAATTTGCATGCTGAGTGAAACTAGCATTGCTCGCATTTCAAATTAAGATTTGGCGAAATATTTTGGTTTCGCCCGAAACATTAAAAGTGGTGTAGCAATAATGACTTTATGATGAAATCAGTAATTCAATATATGAACGGCTTTCTATTTCTTTTGTTTCTCTTAGATAAGTGCCAAGAACTAGAGCGTTAAAAAAATTTTAAAGTCCGAGCATTTTTTTAAAAGATTGTAAGTTGAACTTTCATAGCAGCGATTGGAAAAACTTCAACTTAATTGTGATATGTCATAAGCGTAACAAGTTTAAACAATTTGATTTGAAAATAATTAAACTAGTATTTGAAGACATCATTGTTTATATATAAAATTAAAAGCTGGTTTGCCAGGTTACTGGGTCATTCTTTTAAAATTTTACGTTATCAGTTATGAGAACCAAAAAATAACCTTGTGTGGCCATACTTTCTTTATAACATTTCTATTTTCGAGGTTCATATGATAATTATTGATAACAATACCTCATGCTCTGATAATGTTTACAAAAATGCTGTCATCCAACATGCTGTAGTACAGGAAGAACTTAAATACACTCGTTTGATGTTACGTACGTACGTACGTGCGTACGCTATTTATACGATTTGTTTATATGTGTAATAAACGAATGTTCTAAAATATCAAAATGAACCGCATTTTAAAAATGCATGTCACATAATGTCACATAATGTCACATAGTAAACTCTTAAAAAATGAGTCGAAGAATTTGACTGGTCTCTTTCAATCAAATGATATATGTGCGTAATAAACCTTTAGCTCATCAGTGCAGTTTAGTAATACAATGTGGCATCTTTGTTAATCTGTTTTGCTTAAGAACATAAAAGATCACCAATTGACCTTGTTCAATAATTAATTTAAACTATATAATATTTTAATAACAAAGTTTTACGATCTGCTGGAACTATTATTTAACGAATACATTTATTCTTAGTGCTCTTTGCTTTCATCATTTTTTTTTCACTCTTTTTAACATTTTAAATTGTCTTTCTTTTTACGTAACTAAAAATAAATGATGGGAGGCAAATTATATGGTACTAACACTTTCCAGCAACGTAAAACACATACTAATAATACAACCACACACACAACATCAACACCGACAAATCCCTTAATTACAACAATAATTCCGCCAGAATTATATATTAAAATTTGTGAATATCTTACGCCAGATGATTTATTTTCTTTATCACAAGTATCAAAATATTTTAGAAATTTATTGTGTTCAACATCCGATGCAACTCAAGCGATATGGCGTAATTCTAGACTTCGATATTTGATTTATCCTAGATGTCCAACGCCACCAGATGGGATGGATGAAAGACAATATGTTATTATTACAAATTTGGCGATAAGATGTCAGTTTTGTTTTCATCCTAGGAAACAATCACAAATATATTGGGCTTTCCGTGTTAGAAGTTGTATAGATTGTTTTCATCATCGAACTGTCAGGTATTTATATATTTATATTTTAAAAGAAAGGATTTAATATATATGTATAATGAAAATTTATTTTTTCTAGTGAATATAGACTTATAAACCATTATAAAATTCCAAAAGATTCATTATGTGGCCTTGCTTATACCGCACCATGTAATTACAAAATCTATTGGAAAGATGATATTCAAACAGCTCAAGAAAACTATATGACAGCTTTAGAAAGCAATAATATTGAAGAATATATTAAAAAACAAAGTATTAAACTTAATAAACGATTAGAACAAATAGAATTACAAGAATGGGAATTTAAAAATGAAATGGCAAGATGGAATTATCAAAATACATTATTATTTGATGAAATTAAATTAAGATCTAGTTGCATAGCTGAAGAAACAGCTATTGAAATGGGGTTAGATATTGAAAAATTACAAGATTGGGGAATTTATTGGTATCCTATCGGTAATGTTTGTAGAACATTAACTGAAGATGATTGGATTGATTGGAGACGTGAAGTTGAAACTGAATGTTCTAGGATTAAGAGAAAAAGTCAGAGATGGTTTCATAGATTTTCTATAAGATCTACTATTTATTAATCTTTAATATTGTATAAGAAAAAAAACTTTTGCAATTATGAAAAGTTAATTATTCGCAGCTGTTATTGTTAGATAACATTATTTCTTAGATACGTAGATATATTTTTAATATAGAATTTATTTAATTTATTTTTATTAATGCTTATCTTAATAGTACAGTAATAGACTTAATAAACTTTAATAAACTTTAATAAACTTTAATAATATATTCTATTATACAAAAAGAACCAAGAGAAAGAAAGTATTCTAAATTCAAAAATTGAAAAATTGAAAAAATTATATTGTTAAATGAATATAAACTGAGTAAGATTAGGTAGTAAAGTACTGTGTATTAACGTTAATTATTCAGAGAGTCACACTATGATATTCAAATTTAGAGCCGTTACAATATTCTAAATATTTACGAGAATTAAATATATTCATTCTTTGTGCTTCTAACGTAACTTGTAGAAACAGTTTTTCACTCCTAATGCTGTAATGATAACTGAAATCAGCAAAATTGTTAATACAGGGGCATTTGAATATACTGTATATTATTGATCAAAATTTGGTATAGCAGTAACAAGTAACCGGACAATAACTTATAAATATTAACTAATTTTATTGTATATAGTAGGCAATTATAATCAAAAGACAGTTTCTAAAATTATTATTTTATAAATTTAAAAGAAGTTTATTTAGGAAATCAGTTTTAACATGCTTATATGTATCAAAGTAATTTTGCAAGTAAATAATGACTTATCGCTTATCCCTTCTCTTACTTACTTGACGTTAAGTAGTATTAAACGTTTATTTTTACTCATTATTACGTGGTCGGAAGTGATCGATCAAAAACTGAAAAGGTTATCATATATTACCTATTTGAAGTAATATTAGGTAAGAATACGTATTAATTTTGCCCACCCCTACTTCTAACCCCTACTTCTAACCCAGAAGCAATTATATAATTTGAAATCTTTTAACTAAGATTTATTTAGAAAGTATTTTAGCTCTCTGTATATACGTCAAATTGGACGTCAATATGAGGTATATAGCGATAGTAATTCAAATTAATAAAGGTTACTCTTAAATTTATCTGTGTCATATATGTTTGAGGCTTGAGTATTTACTTTTCCGACAATTATACAGTATATATTTCACGTTAGTACAGTAGTACCCCAGATAATTAAAAGATCAAGTTATGTGAAAAATCTCGCATCAATCAACATTTGCTGCAAAATAACGTATTTCAAGTAAAAGTTTTTTGATCTTGATTAATTTGGTAATAAAAAAAATCGATTTCTAATGATCTTTATAAGTAAAAAAATGATAATTCAATATTTAAAGTTATGAACTTTTCCTAATTAGAATTCTGATATAAAATTTAATAAGTTTCTATCCTTGGTTCGCACAAAAAAAATATTTATCAGCAAATGAAACTGCATAATTTAATTTGAAGCTTATCCAAAACAAGTTAGATAATACAATATTGAAGAAATCTATCGCTATTGTTATCGTTATAGTTCATTAATTCTCTAACGCTAATGTATAATTGATACGATTACAATTCTCACGATATTACTAATCATATTTCATCTATCAACCTTTTTCTGTGATTAAGATTGTGATATGGGGAAAATCATGTTACGGGACATAGTAAATCATATGTCCCATAACATGATTAGCAGAATCTAGTATAAAAGTCCTTTTTTTGCCGTCTTTCATTGAAGTTTACTGAATAATTTAAGGTTGGTTATCGTATCAAAAATATATACTGTATCTCTTATTTTTTCCTTATTACAATGAATATTTTTTATTTATTTGAATAACGATAAATATAGGAAAATGGGTAAATTAAAAAGGATCAAACCATCTTCCAGGTCATCGGTTTCAAAATCTTTAACGGTTAACTCTGATTCTCTTTTATGTAAATTACCTCCGGAAATCCTTTTAAATATTTGTAAAAATCTCTCTCCATATGATCTAATTTCACTTTCAAAAGTATGTAAATTATTTTACAATGATTTACGTCAAGGTGATTCTTTAACTATACAACAGATATGGCGTGAATCTCGACTTTCTTTTATGCATTATCGTCAAATGGATCCACCTGATGGAATGAAAGAACGTGATTATGTTTTATGGTTGTTGGATTTAAGATGTGAATTTTGTAAAAAGAAGACTTCTTTGGATATTTCTTGGGAATTTAGAGTAAGAACTTGTTCTAAATGCTTGGATGAAAATTTTGTAAGGTATAGTTTCTTTTTCGAATATATTATTATTATTATTATTATTATTATTATTATTATTATTTTATTTGTTATATTTATTTCGGTTCTTAATATTATACTTAGGCATAATGATCTATCAAGTTCTTTAATATCTGGTATTCCAACCTTTATTCTAAATTGTGTTCCTTGGAAACGAGATGATCGACATTATCGTATTAGAATTTTTCGGGAAGAACAAGTAATAGATAAATATAAAGAATTTATGAGAGTACCTGAACATGAACGTGAAGAGTGGAAAAAACTTCAATTGGATAAAGTTTTACAAATTCAGCGAGATTCAAGTATACGTCGAGTTGAAGATGAATTAGCAAAAGAAGGTCGTAAAGAATATAGAAGAAAAATTATACGTGAAAGATTTAATAAAATGTTAGAAGAAACTAATGATGATGGTTCTCTAAAGTATAATGAATTTATTCTTAAAAGTTGTACTGCCCTCCATAATGCTTTTAATTATGATACCTATTTTAGTGAGAGAGCTTGGAAATTACTTAAAGGAAAATTGATTAAGGAACATAATATAAAGAATTTTCATAAGATTTTTTCTTAATTTGAATGTAATTTGTCCTTTTTCATTTTGTACATGTCTTTATTAGTTTATCTGAATTAATAATAAGAAAATCTATTCCGTTTACCAGCGGATACGTAGAATGCATTATTCCACATGTTTAAGTATTGATTATGTACAACGAGCATAATACTGTTGTTATCCATGCTATTTATTGCTATTTATTGCAACGAATATAATAACCTAAGTTATATTCATAATCCTGTTCATTTTAGACATCTGCCAAAACTTCTAAAAGTTATTGTTAGCTTTTGCAAATCATATTCAACTACTATTTATCACTTCAAAATCTAAAAAATTTTTAAAATGTAAGCATAAAGTTTTGTATTGAAATTATAATAAAAGAAAATTTCTTAATTTACACCCGGTGTATATACACACATACTGTATATATTAATTTATTGATTTACAAATTTGCTTAATGAGGTTTTTTTTTTATACTAAAATTTTGCAAGGAATATTTTTTGTTAGAACGCCAAAAGCTATTATATAATCAGGATTTTGAGATATCAATATATGTGTGTATATACACATGGTGTTCAAATAATAATTGTCTTTAATATAATAAAATTTTTGTCTAATTTTTATAGCAATATTTATAACATTGGGTAAATTTTTTTAATACTATTCTGCACAGATTTGCAAAAAAATTAAATAATAAATTAAATGAAAACCTATGTAAAACTTCAGACTCACCAGCTATAGCTACAAAAATTAAATACAGTTCTGCACAAAACTTCAAAATATGAAAAATTTTGCAGTTTTTGCAAAAAATCTTGCAAAAATCTGCATTTTTGCAAATTTTTGCAGATTTGTACTTATTTAATTTTCTCGATAAATTTTTTTATAATTCTGTAGTATTATATTGTTTTTTTTTCACTATTAAGATAATCTCTTGATTGGTAACTTTTTATTAGATGATAGTTAATATTACAATTGCAATGAAAATATAACTAGCTATTATTCTTTTGGGACTATTATACTAGATACCTGTATTTGCAACCCAAACTAGAAATATCTATTTAATCTTTTTAGTTATAACTACTAATTATACCACTATCTAATCAAAATACAAGCTTACTATATATAAATATAAATTTATATAAGGCTATATAAAATTAATTTTTGGTTTTCATAATATAAAATTTTAAAAATAATCCAGCAATCTGGCTTTTAATTTTATTTTCAAAAAATTTTATATGTAAAAAATATATATAATTTTTTCACAAAAATTTAAAAAAGTTCACCTAGTTTGTAAAAATTTTTTTTCAAAATTTTGTTAAATTTGACCTGACCAGGTTATAAGAATCAATTGTTATAGCTGATGCTAAAATTAGCTGATACTAAAATATAGAGTTCTAATTTAAATTTATAATATCTACTAAAATTCATATATACTTTTTTATTAATAACTCTACTCTCAAACCCTAACCTAATACTAAAAAAAAAAATCTTAATGAAAAGGCCCAAAATTTTTTTAAAATTTCATAATAAGACAAAATTTTAGCATCAGCCGCAACATCAATTAATTAAGTTTGTATAGTCTAATATTTAAAATTTTGCAACTAATTATTTATCCTCAAGATAAAACCCTGGACATCTCTAATATATATTATATTTTTTTTCAGCGAATTGCCAAAATTTTGGTCAAAAGTCCAAAGTTGAGTTTCAGTGAATTGATGTTAATTTTAAAATAGGTCATAATTGACTATTTTGGCGAATTACATCAATTTTATACATATTATATATTATTTTCAGTGAATTACCTACATTTTGGGAAAAATTATATTCAAAAATAAGCTACTTTATTTTTTAAATCACTGTAGTTTTTTAAAA